GCGTTAAATCGTAAGTAAATGAAAAGTAAGTAGCAAGATGGTTATGTATGGAAAAGTCTGGGCCAACTGTATCGATTGCTTGGTTGCAGTATATGTATACAGAAATCCACAGAGGGGGGGAGGATGAGGGTGGAAGCTGAAGAGGGGGGGGGTGGGGGTGGGGTGAGAATGGGTGGTTTGAGAACTCGACGCTCTCCTCTTCGTCCTCGTTGTTGTACGCCATCGGCGACACGAGGGTCACCAACCCGCTGCAAATCAATTTCACTATAGTCGAACTGCTTTTCTTCTCTCGCATGGAACAAAGAAATATTATCTCTTTCTCTCTATATACCCTTAAAAAAAAAAAAAATAAAATTCTTTTTTTTTTTAAAACTACCACCAATCGTTTTAACTAGATGGCTTCATATCAAAATGTTTCTTTCATTAAATAACTGTAATTCTTCCTAAATGAATAAATAAATATACAAATAAATAAATATATAAATAAATAAATATATAAATAAATAAATAGTTTAATAATATATTTTTTTATATTTATATAATTGTTATTTAAAAAGAAAAATAAAAATTACTCTTTTCATGCATAAAACAATATATATATGTAATAATTTTGCCAATTTCATTGGAAAATGAAAATTATTTTTACATTTCGTTTGCGTGGATTCCGTTTTAATCGCGCTTGCCCGACTGATTTGTAATATTTCTTCGAGAACAAATATATTTCTTGGAAAGGAATTATTATTACTATTATTTGACGGTGAGATTTCAAATTGGTTTTGCTTTTGTGACGCCTTACGATGATGCTTCCTGTTGTGTGTATATGTGTTGGGTTTGCTAAAAATCATAATTACGAAATTACTACCTTTACGGTTTTTTTTTTTTCGAAGTCCTTTTTTTTTCTCTTTTACTCATAACAATAATTTCAACTCATTAGTTGCTCTTTGTTTATTTTTCATTACGAGAAATACCATCGGTGTAAAAAAAAATCCTTTTTTTTGGAAAATTTACCCCCACAAAAAAAAGGGAAAAGAATTTTTTGAAAATTTTTCAAGTAGTAGGAAAGAAAAATTATTAACGAATAATTATTATTATTATTGAGTCAATAATAATTTTTTTTTTTAAAGAGATTTGTACCTTTTAGTCTATAGGGATTCAGAGACCTTGATCTATTTTTAATGCCTCAAATAATACACAATATGATACATCCCGTTTTTTTTTTTTGTAATATTTTCTCCGCCAAGTACCATCTTCAATATAATATAGAAATGGAGGCGAAAAAAAGAATCTTATATACAAGGTGTAACTGAATCGAATGCCGTTGGCAATGCCTTCTCACGATTAACAAGGATTTATGACCTTGAGTCCGTGGTATACCGACTAAGTCCCCTTCTGTCGATGGTTATCGATGCTTTACTAGCCGACCTTCTCGTAAAGCGAGCACACCTTATCCCACTTCAAGGGGTCTTCAAAAAATAGAAAAAAAAAATTCCCAACTCAATATATTATTTGTTCCTATAAAATATCGAATTTTTCACTCTTGAAAATGAAATTCATTTTTATTTGATTTAATGTTTATCAAATTTGAAACTTTTATGATCAATTGAAATAGTTAACAATTTATTATATTTTAATTATAATTAATTATTTATTAATTAATATAATTAATTTATCTATTAATTGATATAATTAATTTATTTATTAATTAATATAATTTATTTATTTATTAATTAATATAATTTATTTATTTATTAATTGATATAATTAATTTATTTATTAATTAATAAAATAAATTTATTTAATAATTTATAATTATTTTAATTAATAACTAATTTTGTAAAAAAAAATAATTACAAAATGTTTTTAATTTTTGTATTAATTATAAATTTTCATTATTAATTTTTATATTAAGTAGTAAACGACAGTTTGAGTCAGTCATGATTTTTTTTTAATTTTAATTACGCTGACAGTAGTGAAAATAAATTTTAGGCGGACACAGTACTCTTTGAATTAGTGTAATTTTCCTATAAGTAGTAAAAGTGAATTTCAGTCAGACTTGCCAAATCCTTGTATTGTAGTGAAAGTCCAGTATTTAAGTCAGACAGTACTTTAAAAAAAAAAAATTTTAATTTCACTATCAGTAGTAAAAGTAATTTTTAAACAAATTGAAATTCTCGCAATTTTAATATCAATAATATTGAATTAAATATTTAAATCTAAAAAATAAATAATAAAATAACGCTAATTAAAATTAATTTATTATTATTTGTATTGTCATAGTGTCTATAACAAAAAATAAATTACCATTAATTTTATGTCTGTAAATAATTGTCAATTAACGCAAATAAGAAATTTATCGCTTGTCAGTAAAATAAAGAAGTTCATAAATATTTAATTTAATATTTAATTTAATTATTAATTTAATTACTAATTTTAACGTTAATTATATTACTAATTTTATCGTTAATTATATTACTAATTAAATTATTAGGATTTATTATTAATTTAACTATTACTTTAATTAGTAATTTAATTATTATAATTAATTATTAATTAAATAATTATATAATTCGTTACTAATCACAGAAAATTATAAGTTATTAAAATAAGCTGCAACGCTCATTATTTTAATCCAATTTTGCTTATTTTAATCCATTTTGGTATTAAAATAAGCAAAATTAGATTAAAATAATAAGCGTTACAGCTCATTGTAATGCCTTTTAATTTTCTGTGAATTTAACTATTACAATGGCAAAAAAATTTATTTGTTTCAAATAATTTGAGTATTATCAAATAAATATTTATTTGTATCAAATAATTTTTTTTCAGTGTACTTTAATTACTAATTTCATTATTCTAATTAATTAATAATTTTATTTTCTCAATTAATTAGTAATTATTTTTTTTATTAATTATAGTTATTTTATTATTACAATTAATTAATAATTTATCATTATAATTAATTAGTAGTTAAATTATTATAATTAATTATTAATTTAACTATTACGTTAATTAGTAATTTAATTATTAATTTAACTATTACGTTAATTAATAATTTAATTATTAATTTAACTATTACGTTAATTAATAATTTAATTATTAATTTAATTATTACGTTAATTAATAATTTAATTATTAATTTCAATTAATCAATAGTTAAATTATTATAATTAATTATTAATTTAACTATTACGTTAATTAGTAATTTAATTATTAATTTAACAATTACGTTAATTAGTAATTTAATTATTAATTTAACTATTACGTTAATTAATAATTTAATTATTAATTTAATTACAAACTCACAGTCGATAATTGACATTTGAATAAAAACAGTTAATTTAATAATAATAATAAAAAAAATAGTATCACTTTGTGTATATAATGAAGAACAGATGTGAATCTACAAGTCAAGAAATATACCTCTGTTAATAAATTGATAAAAAACCAGTTTTTCCCAAGTGGCAACAAGAATATGAATTTTAAATATCTAATATCCAGTTTCCACATATATATTGTGATTTATTAAAGTATCATCTTTGAAAATAAAAAAAAAAAAAATCAAATACCTATTACAAAATGAGATTCCACGTGCCGTAAATATTAATATATATTTTTTTTTATTATTAAATTCAAGGAATAAGAAATTGAACAATTTTTTTTTTTTTTTTCTTGAAACGCGACAAATTTGACTTTCAATATATATATATAAATATCGATAGCGATATAATCAAGATGAGATCAATAGCCGAGGGGATGAAGATTAACATATTAGATGATGACCAGAGGCGGTTAATGTGGTAAATAATAAAGGATAATAGGCGGAGATAACTGGTATTTCATTCAAGTTGCGGACGTGTATTATGATCGGTCAAGCCTAAATGGATGATGAACGATGCTGCGCAACAGATTTATCTGGTATCTTAAAGAAGCCTTGAATGTAATATAAGAAATATCTTTTTTTTTCCCGATTATGATGTTTGCACTTAGTAGCGCGCTATAAAGAAATAAGACAATTTTTTACTATTTTCTTCAGAATATCTCAAACGAATCATTTTTAATTTTTTTTTCTGATCAAAATTAATTTCTGCAATTATTAGAAAGAAAAAAAACAGATTTTACAAAATAACAATATTAATAAAAATATATTAATAAAATAATAATATAAAATAATAATATAATAATAATAATAATATTTTACAAATAACAAAATAAAAAAACAGAAATTTGGATTTATGATATTTTTTTTTTTTAAATTATGTTTTGTACTCATGACAGAGTAGAGAGAAAAAAAAAGAGATAGGCAGAGAGAGAATTGAAGATTCAAGATGTAAATTCAAAACTTGAAGGGGGAAATCTACTAGTAGGTATAGTATGCGGTTTGAAAAGGTAATTTTATCGGATATAAAAGGAGTGGCTGATGCTCCTAGGATTGAAAAAGGGCCCGCCAAGAGGTTGCGTGTTGATGAGTTTGCGGAGGGTCGATGTCCGCCTTGTGTGTATCGTTTGAATATGTGGTCGCCACTTGACTTTGCTGCTTTCTACTTTCTGCCACTTTACTTGCCACTTCTTCCATTTTATAATGAAATGCTTCAATCTCGATCCGTGGAACGTTACAGACTTTGCGTTTTATGCAATTTTTTTTTTCATCTTCCATTCCCTTGAGCATTTTCCAAAAGGAATTTGTCGATTTCGTCACAGAGAGAGAGAGATTTATCTCCTTTTTTTCCGATTTTATTTATCAGATGCCACTTTTTACAAAATTACATCATTTTTTTTTTTTTTTGGAAAAAAATAATATTTTCGATGGAAACTAATTAATCTGCATTCCACCAGAATCAACCGGTTGAATTCTGAAACTTATCGTTATCATTATTTTTTTTCATTTAAAAAATACGTGTTTAAATTCCCATTTGATAATCGCAAAATATTTGCATTTTGTTTTTTTAAAATTTATTTTTAGAAAAATAATTTTTTAAATATTCATTTTTTTTTTGTTACAGGAACTTGGAACGCGACTTGAGTCTTTCCGATGATAGCGAAGATGAAGTGGATAAGGTGAGAAAAATAAAATAAAAAAAAAAATATATTCTTATATGTAGAATTTATAAAAATATTTTTCTTTCACAGAATCCACCGTCGAGACCAATACCAGATATTTCAGTCGAGTGAGTAAATTATTTATTTTTTTTAAACAAATTTTCTTTTTTTCGTTTTTGATTCTAATTTTGATTTTGAATTTTTTTTTGTGTAGTTTAACGGCACCTCTACTTCCGGCGATGGCATCAGCGGCTGGACCACCCTTACCGCCAATGTCACCAATGGGAATGTCGCCAATTGGTCCTATGTCGTCGCCAAGGCCTCTAAGTCCACCGGCAGCATCGCCTCTAATAAAGCAACCGATGCCGACTCCTCCAAGAATGTTGTCGCCAACAATTTCAAGTCCAGTGAATAATAAACGATCGCCAAATCCTCCGGCTAACCAAAGACCTCCAAGTCCACCTGGACAAGCGCCACCAAGTTCCGGTAGCGCGAGTTCCAGTTCAGATTCCGGTTCGGATTCCTGTTCAGATAGTAGCGACGATTCGGAAGATGAAGTCACCCAACCACCAGTCAAAGGTCCAACAACACCACCCTCTGTCTCGCCACCCGCTCCCATCGAGGAACCACCATCCGCCGTTGAGGAATCAAAACGACGCTGGGATCTCAGTTCATTTATGAATAAAACCGCTCTGCAAACCGGTGATCAGAATACCGACACCAAAACCAAACAGGTATTTTTTTATTTTTCGATTTTTATTTTATTTCTATTTTTATTTCGATTTCAATTTTTTTTTCGTTTCCAGAATGATGCATCGTCGAGACGTTCAGGATCGCCGAGTACCCAACCTGAATCGAGAACATCGCGTCGTGAAACAAATCGAAATGGCGCTCACGATTGGCAATTGGATGAGGCGTTAAAAAGAACACGAAATTCAACAATGATGAGTGTATTGAGCGACAGTGAACAACAATCGGACACTGAGAAACCAACGCAAGTAAAAGAGGAGCCTGAGAAACCAAAACCGCCCGATGTAAGAAAACGTGGTAGACCGAGAAAATCGGTAAAAAGTCCAAAAGCAAATAATCATCGTGCATCAGATGAGAATTTAAAGAATGTCACGACAAAACGTAGCCGACCACGTGCTGGTTCATCGAGTGTCAATAATAGTATGAATAAGAAAAAGGTGCCTACCTCAAAGCCAACATTGACAACGAGTGACGATGCAAGTGATGCAAGATCACCGGCAGCATCAAGTGATTCAGAATCTGATCGTCCAACAACGGCAAAAATTCCCGTTAAACGTAGACCAAGATTAAGTGTCTCATCAAATGATGATGATGATGATAATGCATCGGAGAAAAATAGTGGAACCGACGACGATGATGATGATGATAATTCACGATGGAGGCGAGTTTCAATGAAACGTAATAAAATTCCCGAATCGCCGAAAAAATCACAAGATAAAAAGAAAAGTCCCATTAAAAATAATTCCAGAAGATCGAGATCAAGAGTTACTAATAATTCCGGTTATCATTCCGAAACGGATAGTGATTCAGAATTTACAAATAGCGATGCTGTGAGGAATAATCGAATTCAGGTATTATTGAATTTCATTACAATTAGAAATTAAAATTAATTAGAAATTAAATTTAAATAAATTTGAAAAATGAATTTAAATTATTTTCCAGGTTGCTCGAGTACCTCCACGACCAAGAGCACCGTTAACGAGGACAACATCGCCGGACAATTCGGACAGTGACAATAGTCCAGCATCGGGAAAATTACAAGAGGAAGACGGTGGCAATGTTCAGGATAAAAAGAAGAGTGACACTTTAAGAAAATTATTCTCATCGGCAAAAGGCGGTGGCAAAGGTGGTGGTAAAGGTGGAAAGGGCGGTAAAGGCGGTGGCAAATGTGGAATATACGTTGAGGAATATACATCAGCAAATACGCCAACAGGTGGAGAAAGTCCATGTAAAAGGTTAACATCACAAAGTTCAACAACAATTCCCATACCTCCAATTAGTTTTGTTAATGGTCTACCAAGTGTATTGTGTCGGCTTGATTTAAGTCGAATTTCTCATATACCACAAATATCACGCGGTAAAGAACTTAGACAACGTACTGAGCTTCCTGATACGAGGCCGTCTTCCAGACAAAATTCCTCGTCAATTCATAATCATAATCATCAAAGATCGTCATCGAATAATAGACAGGAGGAAGGTGAAATTGTTGAAATGTCAACATCACAACAACGTCGTGGCGATGTGGACACAAAAAATATTGTGATTAAAACTGAATTGGAAATGAAACCATGTTCTGTAAATATTATTAATATGTGTAAAGGTGATGGTGATAGTGCCGGTATAATGAACACATCAGGTAGTTCTGGTTCGGGTTTAAGTGGTGCTTTTAGCGGCAATGCACCCAAGCGGAAACGCAATTTGAGTTGTAGCTCGGTTTCAAGTTTGAGCACCGTGTGCTCGGTTGATGTCAAAGTCAAGGACGAGGCCAAGGAGAAGAAAAAGAAGAGAAAACGAAAGCACTTGGAGTCTGATATCGTTGCTTCCAGACCATCCGCTAATCAGGTATCTAATTAATCTTGTTTTAATTTTAATTGTTTCACAATTTTATTGAATATTTAATTAAATATTTAATAAAAATCTGTTTTGATTTAATTTTTTTTTTGAAATTAATTTGATGTTATTTTTAAACAATAGCATATTGACGTTCAACCAACTAATCACGAGCGGGAAGAAAAACCAGATTTGGATGAATTACCACCACCTGAAACGAAACGTCTCTATTTCTCCTATTTCGATCCTCCGGTTCATGTTAAGGAAGACGACGAGAGGTGAGCATTTGATTTTTTTTTCTCTTCAACAAAAAAATTGTGAATTTTATTCATTTTATCTCTAGAGTACTAAAATAATTATAATTAACTAGCAATATTAAACGCGCGCCAAATTGAGTATTTAATTGTTTGTTATAAAGAAATTAAAGATTAATATTATCAATAATAATTTAAATTTATTAGAATAATATTTCATATTAAATGATAATAATGAAAATTATTATTATATGTTATTAAATTATATATAAAATTGAATTATTTTCCAAATTTTCAATTTAAAATTCAATTATTTACCAAGTTTTCAATTTAAAATTAAATAAAATTCAAATATTACCCGAAATTTTAATTCAACATCAACTTAAATTAAATTATTATCCAAAATTTCAATTAAAATTCAATTATTTTCCAAAATTTCGAGTCAAAATTAATTATTATTAAAATTTTCAATCAACAATCAACTAAAATTAATTATTATCAAAATTTTCAATCAACTAAGATTAAATTATTTTCAAAATTTTCAATTTAAAATTCAATTATTTACCAAGTTTTCAATTTAAAATGAAATAAAATTCAATTATTTTTTAAAATTTTTATTCAAAGTTAATTATCGAAATTTTCAATTAAAAATGAACTTAAATTAAATTATTATCGAAAATTTCAATTAAAATTCAATTATTACCCGAAATTTTAATCCAATATCAACTTAAATTAAATTATTATCCAAAATTTTAATTAAAATTTTATTATTTTCCAAAATTTCGAGTCAAAATTAATTATTATCAAAATTTTCAATCAGCAATCAACTAAAATTAATTATTTTCAAATTTTCAATCAACAATCAACTAAAATTAAATTATTTTCAAATTTTCAATTTAAAATTCAATTATTTACCAAGTTTTCAATTTAAAATAAAATAAAATTCAATTATTTTTTAAAATTTCGATTCAAAATTAATTATCGAAACAATGCCAAAAAAACATTGAAAAATTTTAACCAACACAAAATAATGTCAAACAATACATTTAAAAAAAACAAAAGACCTATAACAAATACTAACTTCAGGTGTGGACAGAATGAACGAAAGATATTCACGATTATTATATGTAATAATGTCTATATAAATTAATTAATTAAATGAGAAATAGCGGAATTTTGAATGGAAAATAAAAATGAAATTTATTTTTAATTTAGGGACCAGAATCAGTACCTGACAGAAGCGAAACGGCTAAAACATAGTGCTGATGTTGAAAGCGACACCATGGCTCAGGGTATGATGTATATTGAAGCAGTTATGTACTTCGTTCTTACTGGCTGTACCATGGAGAATGATCCTGTAACCGAAAGATCATCTTTCACCATGTATAGAGATACTCTCAGTCTTATTAAGTAAGTTTCTTCGCTTCTAATTAAAATTGTAAATTTATCATTTTTTTTAAAATTGACTCAATAAGGTTATTTACGTTTTCTGTTTTTTTCTAATTTAATTTTAATTTTTCTCTTTCAGATTCATTTCCTCAAAGTTTAAGACGCAACATGCATCAGAAAGCAGCATTAATACCAAACTAATTGTCTTAAGGTAATTTTTTTTCTTCAAATTTTACATATTGAAATGAATTTTATTAAATTTTTATTCCAGTTTAAAAGTTAATTTAATTATGTTTCGGCGATTGATTTAATTTCTATTTAATTACATTATTTTTAATCATTTACAATATTTCACTTATTTGTTTTACGTATTGTTTTTTTTTACTGCATTTTTGTACTTTTTATAAATTTTTCTCATTTTAAATACTTTAATCATATATTTTCTTTATTCATTATTTTTGTTTTATTTTTTTTTTTTACTGTTTTCTTCTTAAAATAATAAAAAAATTTTAATGTTACAATGTTTTATTAAAAAAACATTATTATTTTACTACAAAATAAATAACAATATATTTTTGAAATATTTAAAATTATTCAAGATTTTATTTTTTATTTTTTTAGTGTATAATAAAATAATAATTTCAGAAATAGAGGAATATAAACATGGGTGATAAACCACTCAGTGTGACATCAATGTGCGAAAAAAAAATAAGTGTGTATACGAAACGTAAATTGTTTACAAAATTAATTAACGAAATCATTTATTTTCAGTCTATGGTGCCAGTCTCTTATCTACATGAAGCTCTATCAAATGAGGAAAGTGGAAGTCAGAGAGCATCAAAAGGTCCTCACTGATTATTACCAAAAGGTAAAAAAAAATTTTAATTTATATTTTATAAAAGTAATTTTAATTTTGAAATTAAGTGAAAAAAAAAAAAAAAAACTGGATGAAAAATTACATTAAAGGTTTATTTTCTGCAGAATCCATCAACGCCGATTCAACCTGAAGGTCAGGGTACGCCATCATTGTCGCCAACACCGTCACCAGCTGGTTCGGTGGGATCAGTTGGAAGTCAAAGTTCAGGATACAGTAGCGGTGAATTGGCTCACAGATGTGCCAATGGACAACAACTTCAGGCTGCTTCCTACGTTAGTGTTCCTCTTGGAGTTTATAATGCTTTTTCCAGTCAAAATTATCATTTTGGTTTACTTATGAGTGGCCACGATCTTTGGGACCAGGCGAATGCTTTAGTGACTGGAGAACACAAAAGTGAGTAATTTATTCTGTTCAATTAAAATTAAAAATTACTGTAAAAAATTCTGCCTGAAGAAAGTTTTGCGTTTTAGATAAATTATATTAACGAAACAATTCAAATAACTTCAATTCTTTCTTTTAATTTCAGAATTTTTTATTGAGCTGGATGGGAAAATAGGTCCTCTAACATTGAAAAGTTCACTGCGAGATCTTGTGAATTATGTGTTAGAAGGGATCAATAAAATGCGAGCCCTTTGACCTCAGTGGCACAGCCCCCGACCACCAACTCCAAATTACATCACAGCTCTCCCTCCTAATATGGCAACGTATTCAAGTCTGTTTACGTAAACACGACAAAATAGACTCTTAAAAAAAAACTTGTTGAGCTAAAAAAAACAAACACTAGTGTTTTACGATTCAGTTTATTTTTTTTTTCGTTCGTCGAGCACAACAGACGTTTATATATACATATACACAAAAAAAGGTGCTTGAGGTATTTTAAAGAAACGGGGATTCTTTTTTTTATGTTTCTCGCGAGGAACACGTCTCCTGGAGGGATAACAACGTTCAGGTTCTCGGGGCTCTGGGAAACATAATCAACCAATCATCAACAAGTGTTACACACCTCGTGATACTGAGCGAATTTTTTTTTTCAATTTTACTTCAAAGACTGCTAAATTATTCCTGTCGAATAACCATATCGAGAAATTGAGATAACAATGGTGGTTGACAAAATTGCCTTTCAAAAAATAAATAAATTGACAAACGTCTACAAATGACGTTAATATCAATAATTTTGTCACTAGAGTATCGTTTTGTATTTAGAGAAGCAAAATTTTGTAATTAAACAAGTTTTATAAAAAAATCGTTTGTCTTCGTCGCTCACCATTGCTCTCTGACTCGAAATTAAAAAAAAAAAATAACAAAGAATTCATGTAGATAACTTAGTAAAAAAAAAAAATTATTAGTATATTCTTTGGCTGAGGATCTAGAACGCGAATAGATGAGAAACTATAAATGTTTATTTTTTTCTTTCCGAGGTGTCTTGCTTTTTTGTAAAATGTGAGTAGATACAATAAAAAAAAATGTGAACAGGAGAACAAACAAGTGCCACAGGAGCGTGCGCTCTCGCTCCTCATCGCGGGGAGTCTGCAGGTTACCTGAAGCATAATATATGTCGTTAAGTGATCCAAATCCAAGAATACACGATGATATAGTTTATTACGTATATAAAGTGATTATATACATAACGAGAAATTCTACATATATATATATATATATATATACATATTATATATAAAAATATAAACATATAAACAATGTGCACGTGAAAAAAGAAAATCAGTGCGCGCTTGCGCGTCCGTTCGCCGAAGGATTTTGCTCGAATCCATTATTCTAAAGTCGCAATTCCATCGGTTTACTGACGCGACTCATGTTTAGAGTTCTCAATTTAAAAAAAAATTACGTCGACATGAAATATTCGATTTCTTTTTTTTCCATTGTTCTTGATATTTTTCTTTATTACTATTTTCATTATTCTTTCGTTTTTTTAAATTCCGCTATTTTTTTTCTAATTCGATTATTATTTTCTATAATTGAAAATTCAGTTGAAATTGTAATTTAATTTTCTTCTAACAATTTTGGAGATTTTTCCAACTGAATTCTTGAATATTGATCGAGTTTAAAATTCGAGGAAAAAGAAAAGTTGAAAGGAATTTAAATAGAAAATTACCATCGTACGATAATGTATGATTTTATCTTTTTTTTTTCTAACTCTTAGGCAATTTTAAATATCTTTCTTTGGAATCTCAATTTTTGCCAAATAATTGGTTGAAATAATTTCAAGAAAGTAAAAAAAAGTAAAATGTAGAATAGAAAATTAATTTCAAATTTCAAATTTTTGTTAAAATTAGTAAATAAAATTGTAAATGATATAATTTAGTGATAAATTTTTTGTGCAAATTTTTGAAAAAAAAAACATTCGAAAATACGTGACACGTAATTTTGGAACTCTATTCATGCAATGTGTAGATAATCGAGATTAGTAAAATAAATTGAGTACGCAACAATCGACGCAAGTAAAACAAATTTCATATACTACAATTATTATTTACATTACTTAGACTGTAATGGGGAAAAATAGTGGTAATAGAGAAAAAAAAAAAGCTTTTAAGCAAGTACGTGCATATACGAAAAAAAAAAAACATACATTATAAAAAGCGTAAATGAGTGAAGAATCGAGCGCATATACATATATACATAATATATAAGTAAGTTGCTCATGTGTATATTTTTGTAAATAGGTATATTATGAGTGCCGCCGCCTTGAGGGTAGCCTAACTGCTTTTTCCGTCGAGCCAGTTGGCTAGCCCGCCCCAATTTTTGCTACGTTTTGCGAGAATATTTTTGATCAGATTATCTTTCTAGTTTTTAATCGATCACAAAAAAAAAAGAAGAAAAGAAAAGAAAGAAAATCCATGAAAATTCTCAAAAATTTTATTTTTCTGCTTACAAATAATAAAATTAAGCGTCTTGTAATTTTTCATTTTTCTTATAATACAAAAAAAAATTCACAATACGCTTAAATTTATTCAATTTTTTATGCGAGTCGGCTTTTTTGAAAAATAAATTTTACAAAGTTTACAATCTTTTACGAGCCTAGAGAAACTTCGAAAAGATTTTAATTTTTTACGCTCCAATGCTTGCTATATAGTTAACTTTTTTTAAAAAAAAAAATACAATCGAGATAGAAATTTCCCACTTTAGAAAAATTACTGTAAACACAAAATTAATTTCAAATTTTTATTCGAAAAATTTTAACTCTATTTTAAAAAAATAAAATTTAAATTTAAAATAAATTGATTTTTAAAAATTGTTAAATTTTAATTTTAGGTTTTTTTAAAGAAAATTCAAATTTTGTGTTTGCAATACTTAACAGTGAAATAATTGTTCGCGAGATAAAAAAAATAAGCTTTGATTACAATTCAAAATGAATGAGAGATAGAGAGAGAGAGAGAGAGTGAGTATGAAGAAATAAGATTCTATTTGTGAGTAAAAAAAAGTATTCGAAAAACGTAAAGAAAAGTGTCAAAAAGCAAATTAAAAGCTATAGCGGGCTGTAGTTTAGAAACTCATTGCGGTCCAATGGTTCACGGGATACAATTTTATATATCGAGCAAAAAAATAAAAAATGATGACCAAGGACGCTTGTTAAAGTTATAAAAAAAAATGCAAAGAGACTAGGAAAATTTTCGATATTTTCATGACATGTATTAATTGTAAGATAAAAAAAATATTTATATCAGGCCCGATACTCATCAGCTTCATTTTCTCCTGACTTGTGCGATTCTTGCTTTTGACACTTTTCTTGCAAGATTCTCAAGAGAGAGAGAGAGAGAGAGAGAAAAGAGAGAAAAATACTTGCACCGACAATTCTCGGTCCACAGTGTTTCTTTAAGTTTATGCATATCAATTTTTTAAAGGGATTTATCGTGCCCCTTTTTTTATCGAAAAAGAAAAATAAAAAAAAAAAATCTATAAACTATAATTTAAAACACATGGAATGAAATTTTAAATACAAGCGTAGATTATTTCAATCAGTTCGAGTTTCTTAATTGCTTTTTTTAAAAAAAAAAAACGTAAGACAAATTATTTTCTATTTTTCAAATTTAAATATTTATTTTTCAGATAATATTTTCTATTATATTTATTAATTACTATTAAAAAAGAAATATTTATATTCTTCATTGTTTCCGAAAATTACAATAGATAAAAAAAGAAAAAATGGAAAATAATTTGATTTTCGATTGTACGAAAAAGTGAGAACGTGAAAAAAAAGTGTGACTCTATAAGAAATATCGTTACTGCAATTTGTTTATAATAAAAATTTGGTCCATTGTATTACGCTACTTGTACTATATTTATATATACATATAAATATAATATATACATATATGTACACGCATATGTGTATGTATCCGTATCAAGATACTATTTTAATTGTATTATTATTATTATTATATTATTATTATATTATTATTATTATTATTATTATATTATTATTATCATTATTATTATTTTTAATATTATTATTGCATAATTATGTTATTACAATTATACTATATTGTAATTATTTTACTACGTTCTTGAATACAAGAAAAACTTCATTCTCACTCTCTTTTTTTTCAAATAATAGTTGGATTCAGAAAAAATTGTTTTAAAAAAAAAATATTTCACTGTGAAGAGAGCGAGGGATGAAGGGATTGAATGAGCGAGAGAGAGAAATTTAAAATTGTAAAAAACGAGTTTACATGGGCAGAGTTTGAAGATTCTACAATGAAATAATGACCAAGGCCTTTCATTGAAAATTATACACTTTGCAACGAGATAGTATGAGAGAAATAGAAAGAGAGAGAGAGTCAAAAAAAGAGCGAAGTTGGCATCGAACCGCAACGATGATCCTTGAGATTTTCGTCTTTTAACATTTTACTGAAAAAAAAACCAGCAATAATGCCATATTTAAATTAAAAATTTTATTTGTAAATTTTTGCAAACAAAAATGTTTTTTTTTTTTTAAATTCAAAAATTATTTTTGGGAAATACATCTTTTTTTCAATTTTTAATACAGAATTTCATTCATTCATTGTAAATATTTAAAAAGAAAAAGAAAACATTTTTTTAAATCGAAGTTTGATTTTAATTGTTGTTCTCTGCCATTGAATGAAATTGGAAAAAAAAATTTTTAATTCGAAAAATCCATCTCTTATTTTAAATAGAAATCCAAAGTTTGAGTGAAATTTTAAATTTATAATTGATATTTAATTAGATCAATATTAATTGTAAAGAAAGCGAATTTAGTTTTCGATACTTGGAAATGCCCAAAATTATTTTTTGTTTGAAAAAATATTAAAATATTTCGTAATTAAAATTTTTTTTTTATCCCTATTTTTGTTTTGATTAAAATGCGCTCAACGCCACAAAACTCTGTATTGTCGAATGCGCAGTAAAGAATGTGAATAAAATAAAATAAATGCCAGAGAAGTATCGAGAGTGCAACGAGACGAAATATAGAGAAAGAGATATGTAAAGGGCAACCGCACCAAGGAGAGACCAAACTCGCTTAAGATTATATTTACTATGCTTTTTATTTATTTGACTTATTATTATTATATTATTATTATTAAAATTATTATTATTATATTATTATTATATTATTATTATTATTATTATATTACACAATTAAATAATAATTATTATTAATTAATTATTATATTTATTGGCGTGGAGGCTGAACGAAACAGTCGAAACCACACTTTTCATAAATTAAATTTGTTGACACTAATATTATAATTGTTACTTAACTAATATTGTTTCAGTTGTGCAAAAAAAAAAAATCCGCAAAAATCATGCTTAAAAATGATTGTATCCAAATATAGTATTTTTTATTTATTTTTTTTTAACACAATTTACTACAAAAAATATTTTAATTTCAATTTGATCAAGAAAATATGAAAGTAATTTTTTTTTTGTTAGTATTTTGTATTATATTATTTGAAAAAATTTCTTTTTTGGATATTTCATCAAATTCTAATTGAAAAAAAAGAATCATTCGGCCTTGGTAGACTATTTAAATGAGAATGCGTGTCGATGGGCTTGGCTTGTACTTTTACTGATATACCTGTACTGATTAATTTATATAATTTATAAATTTATCTTACTTGTATAGGCTCGTGCAAAAAGAAAAAAAAAAAAATAATAACAATTTTACCTGGATTAGCGAAAATTTTCAAAAGAATTAAATAATTTTTTCTATTAGTTATTTCGATGAATTTATTTGTTATTCCAGGTAAAAAAAAAATTTTTCTCAGAATTGTATTTCCATGATACAAAACAATTATTTGATTAATCTCCCACACCCCCTACACCCCTCTCGCACCTCTCTGTGAGAAATAAAGATTTAAGTTTCTGAGGAAACTTCGCTTAGATAACACATGCGATTTAAAAACAAAAAAAAAAAAAAAATTGTAATATATCGAAAAGAGAATCAATTACACATTTTATCGTCTCACTTATAACAAAGTGAAGATTATTAATAAAAAAAAAATAAAAGAAAAAAATAATAATAAAAATGGAAGCAAAGAGAAAAAGCACAGTGACAATATGTATACATATATACATTTGCGAAATATTTTGTGAACAGGGCTTTTTTTACCTATTTTATAGTAAATCTCATTGAGAGGCTTTGTCCAGAGAAGCAGAGAGATATAGAAATACATTTAAATAAAAAAAAAAAAAGCAATCTGTAACTGAACATATATAAATATAAATATAAATATATATAGTTTAGAAATGACGTTGTGGTCGACGGGGCGGTTCGATATTTTATCGACCTGTACTCAATTTTCTTCTTTTTTTTACATTTTTGCGCCTTAGGCTGGCATTGTCATTATTCTAATTATTATATTATTGTGTATATGGTATAAATTGTAAAAAGGAACGTATTTACTACATCGTATTCATTTTATGAGGAAATAATTGTCCTCCAAATGAACATATTGTTTAAAGTAAATTGAATAAATAAATAAAACATTGACCAAATCAAAAAAAAAAAAAAAAAATTGCTGCTCTTATGTATTTGCTTTCCTTTTATTCAAAAAAAGTAATTAGCATTTATTATATAACAATATTTACTTTCCATTTATTTATTTTTATAAATATTTATAAAATTATTTCATTTTAGTTTTAATTTCTCTACAGATTTTTAAATTTAAATACGATATCGAATCGATATATTCATAACTTCACATTGCTCCAAATTTCTTAACCTCTATTACAATTTATTATAGAATTATATTCAATTATTGTATTTCACATCTTTAATATCAATTATTTTGTCATAAATAAGTATTATAGTATATAATTAATTAATAATTAATAATAAATTATATTATTTAAATTACAAATTTGAATTCTATCGATATATCGATAGTCGCGTTTAGTTCGAGAAGTGGCCACCAGTGGCGCTGTTGCGCACTTGCTTCTTTGTGAATGCAGCCGCCCGTCGGTTACAGTTGCGTCTGAACCTCCGTAGTGAGAGGTTGTATTTTGTCCAATTTTCTGTTTTTCCGTTTTGATTCGTCAACTTGCATAAATCTTTTGTGTTTGTTTTTTTATTTTTGTTGTAAAGAAATTATGTCATTATCAGTCTTTATTCAACATCCATAAAGGATTTAGTGTGTTATTAAGTGTTGTGTGCTATTGGAAAAAAGTTATCAAGAAATTATTCATCGAATAATTTCTCATCACCGTGTCAAACTGTACCAATCGTCTTTGTTTTGTTTATCGACATACTTTTCCGGAGTTTTTTTTTCACCTTACGTTACACACATAAAATTTTCAAGGTAAGCTTTTCTTATATAAATATTACAAAGTCGTATATGATTAAGCAGTGATAAGATAATTGTCAATTAACTTGTACTCGCGTTATTCAACTCAGCCACCTGTTGGTTTTGCGGAAATTGAAAATATTTTTCATTCCAAAGGAAATTATTCATTTATAAACGAATATTTAATACAATAATTGGACACATTATTACCTGCTTTGAAAGTAATAAGACGGAAAATCTGCGACATTTAAAGCGAATTACTGTATAGTGAATAATCTTTACAACATTTTTTTGTATACAAATCATTTTAAGATTTTTGAGTGTTTTTTTCTATAGAACGGATTGTTGGAAGAAATAACCTTAAGATTTGAATATGTTACTGATAATTTATTCTCGATAATTGTTTCCCCCCCTTTCTTTATTGGAAGCTTAATAATTTGGAGTGTTTTATGATTGTCTGGCATTTTTTTTTGATGATAAATTTTTATCCATTAGGTGTATTAGGGATGGGTGATAATATCCAATATATATATATGATTGTGTGTAAGTCCTTATCTGAGCTGCATTCCTTGTTTTCCCCTCACGGTTTAAAGCTGTAAGGAATGGAATTCGAGGATGCATACATTTAAGATACACATACAGGGAAAATACACAGTTTAACGTCTCGTTTCTCACCTCGTTTTGCTTTGCTCCATTCGACAAGCGGAATCGTTTACATAGGATGTGGCATTCCTTTTTAATGTCAAAAAAAAAAATCTAAATAGTTAAACTATCTCTCCAATGCTTAATATGTTCGAGATAAATTGTTTAATTTATTATAATTCCAAAAGAAGGAGAAGTAATCGTTTGAGGAAAACAAGTATTTAAAAAAAATAGAATTTTTTGAATTTTTAAAAAATTTAAACGTAAAAGAAATTTGCTTTTTAAAAATGTAGTCTACTTTTTCCTTGCTTTATGATTCGTTTAGTTTTTTTTCCTTTTGCATGGTCAATGACTTCAGTGCCTTGTTGTTATTATTAATATTTTATTTTATTAATACTATAAAAGGCTGCAATTTATTTATAGATTTTTCCTCAATAGCAGCAATGAATTTGTTATCCTTCTATAAATATATATGATAGGAATTTAGTTTTATTTTTTATTATTTTTTTTATTTTTTATTTTGAATTTGAGTGTTTTTCGGATTTATTAAAACAAAATGAATTATTTTAAGAAAATATTTTATTAAAATTATAATTTTTTTTTTAATCTTTGACATTTTTTAATTAATTTGAAAATCTACTGAAATTCATTATCAAAATATTTTTCCATATGATAAAATTAGTTTTTGAAACAATTTGTCAATTTATATTTTTTTTTCTCGAAACTTTTTACCGACACCTGTAATAAACCGTTTCTTTTGGTGTTTTAAATAGTAAAAAAAAATTTTATTGCTCGATAAAAATTTCTCAAATGCATATATTTTATGAAAGTGAAATATTTAATAGTATCCCGACAATAATATAATCGACTGGAATCTCTCGTGAACGAATCATTTTGAATGCTGTGTGTTTATCCTGGTCGAGGAAGGTCGGCTGCGTCGTGGCCTTGAAGTTAGCTGGTCCAGGGGAATGTGATCTCGACCTAAAGTATAGTTATATATACACCGATTCAGAGTTTCTTTGTTGATTCCCTCACTATAATGTACGATTGAAAATTATTTACGTTCATCTCTTCGACCTCATTTAAAATCCCCCTTCTCGAAATTTTTTGAGAAAAATTAACGTTTCTTTGCACTTGTGCAAGTCGACCTTCTGTATTTATATATTTGTCCTTTTTATTAGTTTCACAATTCATCTGCATTTTTTTTTTAAGTCTTCTAAAATATTTCTTTATTATTATATTTATTAATCGTAATTAATTTGATTACAATCAAAAATTTTTTAATTAACTGAGTATTAGAAATAGTAAACGAAATTTTAATTAAGAGCAATTTAGTTATGCAGAATGGTTTTGAAACCTTGAGACAGAGAGAGAGAGAGAGAGAGAGAGAAAGAGGGAGACTGACCGGATGTACCCTACAGTCATCTTCGCGAAGAGTAACAATGAATTGCGCAATTTTGTTACGACGTAACATTTTTGTTTTTATGGCAGGCGTGTCCTGATCCAATACATATTACGTGGTTTTAAACTCATCGGTTGCGTTAGTCAGGAAACGAGGATAGGTAACGTGCGACCTGGTTTATTAGGTGCGCCCTGAAAGGCGCCATAATAAATCCCACCTCGAAATGTCACGACCTGATCTCAATTTTATTATATTATAATATGCACTAAACTTATCTTCAAACTCTTATCTCTTTTTTAATGGCATTTAATATTTTTTTTACAATGCATTTATGCTTCTTGTAAATTATTTCGGTAGTTTTATATTATGGCTTCTGCTGAATTATATGAATATTTGTAAAATAATATTTACAATAATTTACACTGAAAAAAAAAATTTATTTGATTCAATTAATCGGTTACTTGATTTTTATCAAATAAATATTTATTTGTATCAAATAATTATTATTATATAAGTCAACATTATAAGTTCACAAACATTATTATTATTATTCATATGCCTTTCGGCTTTTGAACGTTATTATTATTATTTATATGCCTTTCGGCTTTTGAACGTTATTATTATTATTATTATTATTACTAACGACAAATATTAATATAATATAATATTATATTATATTATACGAAGCTGACGTACGCAACGTTTGTATAAACGATTTTTAAAGAAATAATTTTTTAAAATGAAAAATTCTATAATTTTTTGCTTAAAAAATATTTTTTTATAATTTTTTGATTAATGAAAACTACAAGAAATATTTTTTAGGCAAAAAATTATAGAATTTTTCATTTTAAAAAATTATTTCTTTAAAAATCGTTTATATAAACGTTGCGTACTTCAGCTTCGTTATATTATATTATATTATATTTGTCAATATGGGGAAAATACCTGAGTAATATCGGACCACTCCAATAATTATTATTTGAGTCAATTAAATGATATTTGTTTCAAATATAAAAATTATTGTTTCAAATAGAAATTTAATTCAAATATAAAAATTATTTGGTTCAAGTATAAATATTTATTTGATAATAGTCAAGTAATCAAATAAATTTTTTTTCAGTTTAACTGAATATATTTGAATTTATTATTTAATTATTTTTTTTTTTAATTAACACCAACTGAAAAAAATTATTTGATTCAAATAATCGGTTACTTGACTAATATCAAATAAATATTAAATTGGACTAAATAATTTTTATTTGAATTAAATAGTATTTGTAACAATTATTTTTATATTTCAATGTAACATTTAATTTATAATTATTTAATAGAAATTTTGAGTCAAGTAACCGATTATTTGAATCAAATTTTTTTTCCAGTTAATTTAATTTCGTAAAATATATTTTAAAACGGTTTTAAAAATATCAAAAAAAAAATTAAAAATAATTTCAAGGAATTTCGAATCTATTTCAATATATATACGCATTTCCAAATGTAGTTTCAATGAAATTTGAAAGTGATTTCAACCGGTTGGAGAAAAAAAAATTTTTTTTTGATGTAACTCTGGAATATATATATATAGAGAGAGAGATTGAACGAAATACTGTGTACATTTCATGAGAAAATTTCGAAATGATTTTGAAATAAAATATCGTATTGAATTGCTGCGTTCGTGATTGATATCAATAGGTTCTCTTACATATATATATTATATATATATATATACTTTAGAAAATCTTGATTAAAAGATTTTGTTCAAATGTTATCGACACATAAGAATTTTATCAAAAAGACAATAGAGTTTATTTTTAAATGATTAATAATATGTTTAGATAGAAGAAAAAGTATATAACATATAGATTGCAAAAAATGATAATGCGAGAATAATATTGTTGACGACGACAAGAGAGAATGATGTAAATGGCTCTCATTGCGTTAATTTTTTTTTTTATCAGTGATATTATATTTTCATTTATATATCCCATTAATATGGTAATCCAATTATTGGATAATGTTATGCAATACCAATGATTATATTTAATCGTTAATATTTTTTGATATCTGTTCATTTTGGCACAATTTTTGATTTTCAAATTGTACTCTCTAAATCTGAATTAGTAAAAATGTTTACTAATTTGAATTAGTGACTCACTTTTTGCTTCTGAATTAGTAAAATTTTACTAATTATTAGTAACTTTTACTAACAATTAGTAACATTTAACTAATTCAAAAGCAAAAAGTGAGTCACTAATTCAAATTAGTAAACATTTTTACTAATTCAGATTTAGAGAGTAATTTTTCATTTTAAAATTTGATTTTAAAATTAAAATTCGCTACATTCTTATTACGAATTTCATTTTGATAGGGATCTTAAAAATTTGATCAAGGTGACATTGAAAGTAGTCCCACCCCCTTCTATTTTTCTAGTATAAATCTTGTATATATAATACGTAGGCGAGATTTTCTCTACCGATCGAACTGGTTCGTGGATAAGGTCTTTAACCTTATCCCTGGACTCGACGAGAGTGAGGATAGTTGATTCTATCTCTGGTATCAGTAGAAGAGGTAGTTGGGGGAGGAAAATACGTGAATTTTATGAAGGTACTTGGTGCATGTACTTGTTTCGTTGGGGCAGCTTATCGCCTTTTTGCAAACTTGCGCAAAGTAATTTACACACACACACAGCTAAGAATATATAGATCCCCCATTGGATCGCGGGGGTTACAAACAATTCACGTGTTGCACACATTTTGCTCGCGTAAATTTTCATTTGCTCACTCGTGATTCTCTTCTCTCTCTCTCTCTCTTTTTCTTTTGGTATATCTTATCCACCCCGCGAGAACCTATATTCTCTGATAATGATCAGTGATGTTGTACTGTTTCGCTATATCTTACAAGAGAATCTTACACGCATAAATGAAAATATTGGAAAAACAAAGTAGACTAACAAATTTAATCAGAAAAGATTTAT